GACTTTTTAGTATTTATAGATTCTTTTTTCCACCCCATAGAATAGCAATTACTCAAGCATACCAGCTAGAAGAACTCATAACATGTATTTCCCAACTGCAGTGATAAGGCATGTAAAGTTGCATTTATCATGAGATTTTAATCACTTTACTGACATGTTGACTCCTGAAACATCCCCACAAGGAGCTACTCAACCTGGAATAACATAGGCCTCTGAGCAGTTTTGAAAAGTCATTATCTGATTTTAAACCATTAACAAAGTGCAATTCTCCTTTGCTAGTACAGAATGTCACTCCAAATCACACTGCTGAAATCCAGAAAGCCAACAGTGATTCATGGACCAGCAGAGAAATTAAGCTATTAACACTGATAATATACTCTTTATATGAAGCAGTGTCAAATTAATTATATGAAGTTGCCTATTCTTCTGAAACTTCCTCCACAGAATGCAAAATAGCCAGTCATTTTTATGTCCCAAGTCATCTTTGTTGATATTTGTAGAGCTATAATTACTTCTATAGAAATTCAGCATTAGAAAACCTTACACATTTACCTAGAAATGAGGACAGCCAGCACAATATGAATAGGCAAGAACTTACAACAACCATTAGGTTCTCTGTTAATTCATGAGTAACCTCTTATCTTGATGTAGCATTTAAAAATTACAATACATTGAATCAGTAGGTATAAATTTATAATCCTCTAAACCACAATAAAAAGCTGGAATTCTCCAGATTAAAAACTGCAAATACAAGCTCTGAAAAAACAACAGGAGCATAACATTCATGAAAATTTCAGTTGTCAGACAAGTCCCTCAAAAAATAGTTTGACATATACAGCCTCTAATCCAGAACTGTGCCTAACACTTGGCCTGTATTTAAATCGTATTTTGGTTACAAGCACAAAACAGAAGCAATACCACAAATACTTTTTGAAAATATTAATGGTGAAACTAGGGTATTTCTGAAAATATAGACTATTTAAGGAACTAATGTAGATTGTATTTTTACTGCGAGACAGTTATGCAAAAAAGCCTTTTAAGTATGTAGCCCTAAGTCCATGATTATGTCCCATTTGCCTGAAGTAGACAAAAATACTCTAATACTTAAGTTTGCAATTAGAAAAATAACCACTGATCATAGTGCTGATGCATAGCTGTAGATAATAGCTACCCAACTCTTAAATAAGGAGTATTTAGTGTTCCTTGGCCTGTGGTTTCCCAGAACTACAACGATTATTTCTTCATTGTATAATTGTACAAGCTGCTCATTTGACAGAGCACCTTTGCTTCAAGGAAACTATTGTCTACTTACGTACACAACCTACTCTACAGCTGAACACCTCAAACTTCTTCCTTGGGCAAAATAACTGTCATCTGCTGCAGGTAGTGTTTTCATTATCTCCTGACTCTGAAAACAATACATGGTCCAAGATTTTAGTTAAGGTTAGTGGAAGACCAGGTCACTTTCTGAACCAAGTACCTCCCATACACCCATGCAGAAAACCCAAGAGAAGAAAGAGGTGCTGTACTTTCAAACTTCATCTCTCCAATGTGATGGGCACAGTCCCATCAACTTTTTCCATGATAAAGGATTATGAATTAGTTCCTTCTACTTCTGTTTACTCCTTCAAGTTTTTAATCAAACTCTGAAAGGTTTAGTACCAAGCTTGAAAAGATATTCAAACCCTTCCTTTTGCTTTTTCCATATAGATCATGCTGCATCAACAACAAAGATTCACAACATTCTTACAGCTGCTTAAGTGTTGACAAGTATTTTAATTTTCTGAGTGTTTGGTATCAGAGTACTTAAGTGTTCAATACAAGATACTTCATTACACAAAAAAGTATCATTACAATATTAAAGTACATTAAATTGGGGTGTTTGCAATTTGTAGATGAGAAAGTATCATTAATACAATCCTACTCCTGCAGAAAAACAAATACTAGTGTAGACTTCAAAATAACGTAGCAAGAATTAACCTTGAATGCATTTTTATAATTAAAAACTTCAGTCTGCCTTTTAAGATCTTGCAACTACCTGTTAAGATAGCCAAATTTTGATGAGAACCAAAATAATGTTTTTTAAGCTGAATTCATCACCACAAACATGCTCACTCATCCACCTACTTTCTTACACATGTGAAAATACATTAGCACCAAAGGCTAGGCTGTTAAGCCTACTTATGTATCATCTTTCTGCACCTGAAACAAACAGAACTTGCAGAAATAGAGAAGTTAAACATGGCTAAGCTTCAGTACTCCTAGAACAGTTTCAAGATTATCCATTCTCAGTAAAATAGCAAAACCTCTTAAAATGGATTAAAACCTCTTAAAAACTCCACTCACATCAGCCATATCCTCACTCTTAACTATGGAATTTAGAAGTGCTTAAAGTGCCTTCATCCCTAGCCAGCTACATTAACAGAACTTCATAGCCCCGTGATTTTAGTCCACATTTAAGCATGCTAGGAGTTAATTTGCCTCACTGGAACTAAAAGGGAAAATAACCATTACATTTATCTTCATGAAATACCAAAGGCTATTCTTCATGAATACTATCTATCCAACTGCAGGTATTAAAATAGCCTAGAACCACAAATTAAATGTTAATACACCCCAGACAGCACAGGAATTTACAGATTCCATGACTTTCTGTTCTGAACATTTTATTAGGAAAGTTTCTGAATGATCTTTTAATGCCACAGGATACCCTCAAACAGGTTCATGAACATTTAAACCACACATTGCTGTCACATGAGAAACAAATATATGGCAATTGAGATGTTTTTGTGACAGTCTACAGCTTAGGAAGGAAAGTTTCCATAAAACAGCAACGAGGCAGGTGGCTTAAGACTATTGTGGAGACAAGAGAAGTTCAACTTCTATAATTTCAAGAACTCTGTTAACAGTGAAGATGCTGGTAAAGTATGTTTAATACCTTGTGATCTAGAAAACAAAAACACCATCAACTAAAACTCTACAATATTTGGTATTCAATAAACTAAGTCTCAAAGACATCCCTTAGCAATCTGTTACATATAGAAAAGTTTATTAGAATGACTTACGCAAAAAAAGCCTTTTCACCAACATTAATCTTCAAAAATACTTGCCTTTTAATTTGCAGAGCAGCACACCTATGGCTTCTCAAGGGACTAGAACAATCACTAACTAATCTTGAATTTGGATGATTAAGACATTCCTCAGTAAGATGCTATCCAGAGAAATTATTTTACTCTGTGGTCCTTTTAAGTTGGCTCTTAGAGATATCAGACTTACGTTGATGTTAACTAACTCTTAAACCTCAAGTATGGATCAGTTAACCTAAGGGATAAGTGAAATGTCTGAAAACCACATAAGTAAAAATTGGAAGTGGAGAAAAGAGTAGCAAAAGAAAACCTTAAACCCAACTGAAGTCTTTTTTAATGTTTCCATCTCCCTTTAGTGCTATACTTGATACCAAAATTGAGTCTATTTTGCCTTTACCACACTTTGTCCTGCAGACTAGAAATGTGTTCCCAGTAAAAGTTCTTTAAATAAAAACCAAATCCTTTAAATGAAAATTTAAATTTATTTTTAATTTTAAGTGTCATTTCTATCAATTTAGACACACTGACATTATCAGATCAGATAATTTACAGTGACTCAAAGATAAAGTTTTGGCTTGTACATTCAAATGTTAAATAATTAACAATAGCCTTAACTTGTATTTCCAAACCAGAAACACTAAAGAGTATTTCATTTTACTTTTCAACCATCTTTGTTAGTTAAACAGACTTCTGATATCTGCTGTACAGGGAGAACATGAACATCAAAGGAATTACTTTGTTTCAATAAAGTGAATACCTTAATTATAGCTCCAGATTTAAAACTAATTCACTACAGCATGAAAAGGCAATACTAAATAGAAGTAAGATAACTTTGAAATATATTTTTCTCAGGTGGACTACAGAGTTTGACCTACTTGGGAAGCTCTCTTGAAGAAAGGTCTTGCTATCCCATATAAACATCATACAGTCTTAAAGTTAATCTTTGCCCAGTTTTCACAATTGTTTTGTAAACAGTTATTGAGCATTCCCTTGCTACTTTTGCATTAGTGGTTAACATTTTCTATTAAAAAAAGTTATATTCATTTTGTTATTTACTCTATTATTTTTCCTCCCACTTGCTAGCAGTCACTAAAAACTGCATAAACAGAAAGCACCTAAAGGTATTTGATCAATTTGCCCATTTGGTCACAGGTAGCTCCCTTCAAGGGTGCACAACGTAATTGTCCTATAGCAAATGGCAGAGCTTCTCCCTCTAAGGGGGAGAGCCTCTCATTACACATTTTAGAAGATGATAAAATCTTCAATTTGTAAAAGCAAAGCAAGTCCCAAAGCCCTGGAAAAACTTACAGATTTTAGAGTATAACTTATAATATGACATGCTGACATGGTACATATCACAGCAAGCTACTTCAACACTTAAGATTCCTTCGTTTACTCCTTTATATAAAAGGCTGGTACCACCTTAAGTTAGCAAGTAGCACATCATGAAATATCTGGGACCACAGTTACATCTTTGTGCTAGACCTAAGCACTTTTGCTTGGATTAACTAATTCACTTCCAAAGAGGGGAGTGGTAGCAAAAACTACTTAAGTCTAGGTAACACTTTCCTTCCCTCACCTTTACTTATACTGTTCAAAGGGCATCGTTAATAGTGTGCCAGAAGTCCTGTCCTCTATCACCTCCTGATTCCAGAAGTCTGCTGCATTTCAAGAATCATAGGCATGTTTCCTGCTCAGAAACACAGAGGAGGCAAAAGGAAAAAGTGAAAGGTCCATTATATTACAGCTTTAGAAGCCATATAAAAAACATGTATATAATCTTAATCCTCCCTGTTAGTAAAGTCTGTTAACCTAGTTAATCCACACATATAAAGATATGCATCTCAACACCCAGTGAAACAACTGTATTCATGAGCCTTTAAAGTATACAGAAAACTCAGTTCTGTCCTCTGATGCTGTTTTCAAGTTTGTTTTATTCACTCTTTTGGATGACTATAAATAAGTGTTTCCACTATGGAAAAGAAAGTTAGCACAGTACATTTTCATGACTGGGGAATGGATTTTCTGAAGACATCTTCAAAAGGGCAAAAGCTTAGAAAAAACAATCTGAACATTGAATTCAGTTTCTTATAAAGTCCCTTGTAAAAATTAAAAAAAGGAAAAGAAAAAAAAAGGTAAAGGAAAAACCACAAGGCCCAGGATGATTTATTGCTTTTCTTCAGTTTTTTCCTTGGTCTCTTTCTTCTCAGATTCTTTACTCTCCTCCTTTACAGAAAGCTCTTCTAGTTTTTCAGCAACTTTATCAGCGCTATCATTTTTGTCTGTGCCTGCTAAGAGATTAATTAGAGAAAAAGTTACATATACATGTAGGACTGGATTTTCTTTTATCACAGGTTCACTGAAAGGGTAGGAGCAGATGAAAACAAGACAGCTGACATTTAGAACAAAAGTGGGAAAAGCTCCACTGACCACTGGAGTGAGTCATGATTTATCTTTTCCTTCAGTAGTTATCTCTGATGTCAGAATCAAAGAAATACCACTTGTACCTTCCAATCACAAACTGGAGGTCTAATCAGCGACTGAGAAGTATGCAGTATTTAGTCAAATCCTGTTGCTACCAACAAACTGCACACTGTTTTCAAATCAAGTTCCAAAGTCCCAAGCTTTACAATTCTCTTCAACCAAGAAGCAGGCTTCCCGAAAGTCAAGCTCCCCAGTTTGAACTATACTACTTAGAAGAAATTACAACAGTGTTTTTAGAGTTGAACAATTTTCACCTAAATATCTCTAAATGTGTTGACAACAGGTTGTTGGTAATCAGGACTTTAGGAGCACAGAGATGTGTGTTTTACTAAGATATATTGTCAGAGAGAAGTTACACAAGTTGATACAATGAAGCCATTAAAAAGACCCATTAAGAAACAATTTGGACCATGTTGATAGCTCCAGAAGTGTAATACTTGATCATGTTTGTGGAACTTGAGTAAAAAGGAAAGAAAAAGGAGGAAATACCAGGGCACTTAGTGTTGACAGCATTTATATACTATACATCACAAATGCTTCAGCAGTAGACTTCCCAAAAAAACAATGTGCCAAGAGCAATTGTAACAGACTTCTACATAAAAGAAGTGTTTTTCACACCCATGAACTATTACTTTTGCAGACAGAAAAAGCACCTGAACTGAAGACTGCAGTTCGGCACAGAGTGAGTCTGCTAAAAGACTGCAATGCTCCATGGAGCTATCGCCACCCAAACGCTAACAAGAAGGGGCACGATACTACACGTTTATATTTTTCAACTTACCCTTCTTTGCTCTCTTGTCTACCTCATTTCTGCATTCTTCAAATTTTGCCTTGAATTTCTGTGCATCTGTTTTGGTAAAGATAGAATATATCTTTGTCAGCTTTATCTTCTTGCAACACTGAATACTTTTCGATACTCCTCTTTAAGAGTTTTTTTTTGGTAAATAAAGCGCATGAGAATTTATGAAACAATCCAATTTCAATTTGCACAAGTTACAAAATGCTTCAACTTCATTACTGCTTCATTAGCACTGATTAAAAAAAACAAGACTCAAGTTACACCAACAACTAAGCATAGTTTTGTTATGTCTTGAATTAAGCCACTGCTTGAGGTAGGCCACTGCAAGCAGTTTATCAATTAAGTTACAACACAATGTTTCTACACAAATAACCCAAACAGCAAGAAACAAGCATTCATTAGGCAAGGGTTTTTAAACAGTTTAACTCTCGAGATAGTAAACTGAAATGCCTGCCTTGGCTGACCACTTGAGGTCACTGTTGTCCCATAAAGAAATTCAGAAATCACTATGGTAGGAAGTCATTGATTCCTCCTCAAGTACATTAGAAAATATAAAGGGCATACCTATCTCTTCACTTTTCTTAGCTAGTACCATCAAGAGCAAAGAGGTAAAGAACTACTCCATTAAGAGATAAGAGGAAACTCTCAATAAGTTAAATACCACTGGAAAGACTCTTCCAAGACAAGCTATTAACCCAAAACCTTTCATTTCATATCTGATTAAGAAAGAAGCACCAAACTTGGGAGGAATAATCTGATACTGAAGACTTGAGGAAAAGAAAACAAGATACATTAGAATTCATCCTGGATACAGGGCAATCCATCCAGTGTGCATGTGAACACATGGAAGTAATTCCCTTCACATTAGCTAGTCTAGTCTTGCCTTCCCACTTATATACTATATTTGGGATTTTAGACCAGGTCAGGACACTAATACCATAAAAGGTTGGCATATACAGAAGTTTGATGCAAAAGAAAAAAAAAGTTAAGGTGACTGCACCACTTTACCAGCAACACAAGCCCTTAACTCTCCTACAGTTCTTAACTTTGTAGAGTTAACAGCAGGAAAGAAAAACAGAAGATGTTTTAAAATATGAAGCCACTTAACCACCATCGTTATTTTCTGAAGCATGCAGACTAGAAGACAGCTAATCTACTAGTCATTTATTGCAGTAAGTAGTGAAGCAGGAAAGGAAACAAGCATTTTTCCTCTTTTTGCATCTTTTTCAAGAACAGAGAGAAAAAAAATCTTTGATTCATTCCTAGACATGGAGAAAAAGTGTACCTGCAGCTTCATTCACCTCTACTAGATGATTCACATGCAATTTAGGACACACTTTCCATGCTGGTAGTCAAAACAGTCATTCTTCCCTTCCCCCAAAAAGACTGGTATGAGACTGGATTCAACTAGCACCTTCCACTGAATAAGTTTTCCATTTAATCAAGAGAAATATAATGCACTTCATTACAATGAGATGCTATCTTAATTAAAATTGAGCACCTGAGAATAATGAAGACAAGCTGCATAAGTCAGTCTGTGCAACAGACTTTGAATTTTACTCCCATTAACATGACACTTGCATGAAACAAGTTAAAAAAGATCCTCAGGCAAGAAGCTCCATGGATATTACTGAAGGCCTAATTTAGTGATACGTGTAGACAAACAGCAGAATAATTGACTTCTCTTAACTAAAGCACTAATTAGCTATGTAATGATAAGATACAGCATGTCTATAACAACATTTTACAGCAGTGTTTAGCCATTTAGCTCAACACACAGTATATATTGCAAGTTCAGTGCCAAACCACTCACTCTCTGCGTTTAGAAAGCGGATTGCCAGAAGTTCGGGCTTAGGGCTTTCATCTGCAAAGTCAGCATGTGTGTTCCAGACCCATGCCCTGTCACTCCCAGCATTAGGCTTCAGCTCCATCAAGGGTGTGACTGAAAAAGAAAATATTGAATAAATGTTCTCCACACCAATCTTTAAGTCTTACTGACAGTTGACTTCATAATGCTTACATAAAATACCTGAAACAGAATTACTTTTGGATATATAGAAAAATGGTCCCCCAAATAAGCTTTTATTTACATTCTCAAATAACATGATGACAGAGGATATTATATACATATATATATATATAAGAACAAGAGATTCATTAAGCCTGATTCAATTATGTTTTAGAACAGATGGCTGGTATGTTAAGAAAGCAGCAGTAGTCAAAAGGTTCAGGTAAAAAAAAGGGACCCAGAGATAATAAAACCTCTTTGGCATCCTGCTGGTAACACATATTACCAGAAACAATTTGAAAACAAAAATACTGACAATTAGTTATCTAATCAGGTTCATTTCTCTATATATCAATTTAAGGCTCTATTACAACGTACTATAACGTTCTGTAGTATAATATGTGCATAATTTATTTTTAATTACTTTGTTCCCTCCAGGGATAAGCCTACATAAGTGGGGCCCTTCCTCCCATGAGATACTATACTACTTAACATGCCAGCTTTTACAATGAGTCAGGTTATTTCTTGCATTATTCTAAACCTTTTTACACTGTATATGTACATTTTTTTTCAGACTCTGTATCCTTTTTTCCAATTCTGGAGAATTCTCACTTTTCTCACTTCAGGAGAATACTCACTTTTCGCATTTAGAGATCATGTTGCATTTAACATAATATTTTGAAAAAAATCCTTATATCTGCCATAAGAATAAGTATAAATTTAGTTTAAAAAAAATCTACACTACATGCAGCTTTTTTAAGAAAAAAAGACCTAGTAGTGTTGACATGGATGCTATAACTTAACCATTTTGATCAGTTTTGTATATGCATCAATTATTTTCCAAAGCAAAAGCTTTATTCTCATCGGTGACTATACTCTTATATTTGTTTCTTTCAATGAAAAGAAAGAAAACCTCTAAATAGTTTCACTTCAAGAAATTTTGTCCAAATAAAGTGAGGATTTTTGCTTTTCACTTCAGAATGGTATTAAGCAATCTTGAATATTTTTATTCCAAAATGTATCTAAAAAGTTATCTACATAGTTTAACTCCACAGAATAGTCTTAGAACCGTATTACTGAATTAGGCCACCTCCACTTTCAAGTTCCATGTCTTGCAATTTCATGTTCATTTTTATGCAAAGATGAAGAATAAACCCTTCCTGCTCCATCAGCTCTCAAAACACATTCTTTCTTTCAATGAACTCAATGTGGTATATACCACATTCATTTCAGCTTTTCGTATATACCACATTCATTTCAGCTTATTTCACAGAAAAAGGTAGCTAGAGATTAGTTTGGCACCTCAGTATCTGCTTTCTGATGTTTAAGCAATTGCTTCTACTAATTCAGCAGTTTGACTCACAATACTAAATTGCTTCCTTTCTTCTTTTAGGAAAAGAATCTTGCATCCATTGATTTCTTATTTTAGGAGTATTAAAGCCTGAATTTTCTACACTCTATCATTTAAAAAATTAAGCATCAATAACCACACTGTGTCCATCATCACCAGCTAAATATAAACATGCCTTAAAAATATATGAGTTGAAAGGAAAGGCTTTCAGACTCAACATCACAGGATTTGACCAAAGCCCACTGCAGTTTCCTTCTATTATTTAATATAAGCACTCATGTTTTTGATTATTAGAACCTACTTTGTGTGCACAGAGCAAGAGTTGCTCACAGTTAAGTTTATGCTAGTTTGATGCCTGCTAAAGGCACCTAATCACTGGTAAAAAGCCACTGGGCTGGTAATCTACAATGCATCATCTCCCGAAGTTATTACTTATTCTTGTTTAAGAAGTTAGGATAACATGCAACATACTATAATGGTTTGCACAGATTTTTAGGGTTTTATCCCTCCTCATGAGGAGGCGAATTGTTCCCTTCTCCTTGTGCTTCAGGAGTTTTACATCACCAGTTCCTCGTTCTTTCCATTCAGGAAGGTCATTTTCAGATGCAAATCGGAACAGCTTTGCTCGCCTTGAAGAGGAAAGAATTGAAGACATTAGCCTGGGCACAGAAACTTTTATTAAAATAGCATACTCACCTGGATAGCACACTTTTTAAACCCACACAGAAAAGAAAACAAGTGCTTTACCATTAGGATCCATGAACTACTATGGCATACAACAATATTATATAATAAAACTGAGCAACGCACTCTTAAAAGTTATAACTGTATCTGTATAAAAGCTAACTATATTCCATACAAGCTTTCTGGGGATGGTAAAGGTACTTGGTGTGGATAACTTCTTAAATCAAGGCAGCTAAAACAGCCCTAACTAGAAGGTAACAATCTCTGAAGAGAAGTTTAGGAAGAAGTCAGGTTTTTGTCCTTCTCTATACAAGAGCAGAGAGTAGATGCTTGTAAATACACCAGGGTCTTGGAAGAAGAGAAGAGAGAAATTGAAGCTTGACCAACAGATGCTCTAATGCAAATGAACTACTTTGCTTCAAACCAAATTCTTCTCAGGTCAAACTAGCACTCAGGAGGCAATTCCCCCAAGAGCCATTAGAACTACCAGCACCCAAAAATGATTCCTTCCCTACCACCCCTTTCCAGATATAACACTAAATTCCATAGGTTCATTTATTTGCTCATGTCTTTAAAAATAAAACCACCATCTTCCTTCTATTTGACACTGCATATCACATGCAGAAAGATAACCATGCTACTTTAAAAGTTGATCTTCAGTTTACTTTTTATTAGAATAGGTTTGAGAAGAACTCAAGCCTCTCTTCTAGATGAATACCCTTCTCAGAAGGCAAAACAGTGTTTCAGACCCTTTAAGGCACAGGTTGAATTCAAAACATTTCTTAACTCTTTATCCCACACACTACAGTAGACATATCCTATATCTTAAGCAAGCTATCCTGAATTGACATTTCTCACATTGATTTTGTAAACTTAATGCAAGAGTGAAACTGTGTTTGAAACAAAGTTAATACCATAACTGCCCCAGCAACATACTGCATCTATTCCTTCTATTGTTTGGAAGCATTATGCACCACCTTTTGCAGGTGGGGATGCATGGCAGCAACAAAGCATATTTCATCTTTGTTTCCCAGATATGCATTTCAGACTCTGATAACACATCTCTAAGGCTCTAAGTCTAAGACTCTGTTTTCCTTTAGGCTAAGCTAAACAGTATCAACCCAGACTGAGATTCTTTGCATTGTCTCAAACCTTTATTAGTTTCTTGAGATATTATTACTACTCATGCACCCTTACTCAAGAGTTAAGCTTTGTAAGTTTTTAGATGGCATACGAAAATATCTTACTTACATCTTAAAAAGTTCTTCCTCATCCTCTTCTAGAGTCTTTATTTCTTGCTCAGGAAGTGAAACTATGGGTTCAAACTGAGGATCATGGTTGGAATCATCTGCATTTTCAGTTGAAGTATCATGCTCCTCATGTGTTTCCTGAGAAAAATTATATGGATATGATTACATTTTTTACATACTATGTATCAAAAATTCTGAAGTACCTGCATTTATACTAAAATGATCACAACTCTTCAATAATTAGAATTTAGAAACAGAAATACCCTGCTGCAAAGTTAGTATAGTTTAAAATACTTTCAAGACAAAGTACAGCTACACTTTTTTTTAAGTGTGGTGGTCCTGCAGTGATAGATGTTTTACAGTCTTACTACTCATATTAATTGCATGGAGCCTTCCCCTTGAGAAATAGGCCTTGGTTACAGAAAATCATTGCTTAGACTATTTTTACTGCATAACAGGTTTTACACATTCCTAGCTCTTAGTAGATACTGAGAAACAAAAGCAAGCAGACATCAAACCCTGCTAAGGAACATATTATAGCCAAAAAGGCAACAGAATTTAGCTGTGCTAATCTTATATACCACAACCATCCACAACTAAAGGTATTTCTGAAGCACAGTTGAAACTTTTATAGGGTCATCTAAACATTTTATTGATTATGCACACCGGGGATCCTTATTTCTAATGCTAACTGAAATAAAGAATTCATGGTTAAAACAGACACCTAAAGACACCTAAATGACTAAGAAACAGCATCAGCCACAGCATTCATTAAGTTTAAGAAAAAAAAGCATTAGTATGTGACCATTAGGTACATGAGATGCATATCTAATACTTCACATAAGTGAACAGTTAAGACGCTTTCAGTAGTAAAGCTAGAAGCAAGATTCATCTGCAAGTTTAATGAAGCCACAACGTTTTCTCAGAACAAAAAAAAAAGAAGTTTTTTCTTTTTTTCCTTCCTCTGTATTATTAAAATAAAAGTTTATACATCAAAGAGGCTTAATCTTATATTTACTTTACAAATGAAAGAATCCACTCTTTCAGACTCTATTTTACTTTACATACAGGTACATACACCATTTAAAGTAGAAAAAAATGGCCTTTGATTGCTAAAAAAAATGAGGAGGAAAACAAAATTAGCTGAGAGATGCTACAAAATAACTTTTTATTATGTCAGCGTGGTTCAATCTATCACTGTTTTTACATCTCCCAGTGTTCCAAGAGCTAAGGAAAAAAGAGGGGAGGAAAAATGACGTTAAATCACATCCAGACACCGGAGAACCCGGGCCGAACTTCAGCGTTTCCTACTAGGGGAGGAAGCGCTACAACAAGCGCTACAAGGTGCGGACACCAGCACGTGCTCGGCCAGGCCGCCGCGGAGGCCCGCGGGGCGCGGAGGCCGGGCC